TGCGCCTGCACACCCTGCTGGCCGCCACCTGGGGTGCATCCGCCTGCCTGGGGCTGCTGCCGGTGCTGGGCTGGAACTGCCTGGGCGAGCGCGCCGCGGCCTGCAGCGTGGTGCGCCCACTGACCCGCAGCCACGTGCGCCTGCTCGCTGCCGCCTTCTTTGCCGTCTTCGCGCTCATGCTGCACCTCTACGTGCGGATCTGCAAGGTGGTGTGCCGCCACGCGCACCAAATCGCCCTGCAGCAGCACTTCCTGGCTGCCTCGCACTTGGTGGCCACCAAGAAGGGCGTGTCCACGCTGGCCATCATCCTGGGGACCTTCGGGGCCAGCTGGCTGCCCTTCGCCATCTACTGCGTGGTGGGCGAGCCAGGCTACCCCTCCGTCTACACCTACGCCACCCTGCTTCCTGCCACCTACAACTCCATGATCAACCCCATCATCTACGCCTTCAGGAACCAGGAGATCCAGCGGTCCCTCTGGGTCCTCTTCTGTGGCTGCTTTCACTCCAAAGTGGCCTTCCGCTCCAGGTCCCCCAGTGACGTGTGAGGGGCTCTTCTCTGGCCAGCCCCTTGCGGCCTCTGGGGCCCAAGACTGGACTTGCCCCACGGTGGCAAGGTGCTGGCCACGTGCTCCAACACTGGCACTTTATACATAGGGACAGAAAGGAAGTGAACTCCGTTTGTCAACCAAGGGGCGGTCAGTTCTGTGTGATGTGTGGGTACACGTCTGGGAAGCTGCGTCACGTGTGTCAAGCAAAGACATAAGGAAGTGAACATGCTGCATAGGAACTGCCATTGACTGGGGCAGCCCCTAGGGCCATGTAGCCCAGCCTCCTGTCACAGTGGCAGAGACCTGAGGCTGACACAGAGGGAACTGGGCCTGACCAGGGGTTTTTGTCCCCACTGTTTCTCATTTGCAGCCTCCGGCATTTCATATAGTCATAGGGAAGCAGGGCTGGAAGGGACCAGCTTAAGGCAGGATCAGCCGTATCCAAACCATAATCAAAACTCTACATTTAAGGTCTACAAAGTTCTCTTTCAGAGGCTGTGCTCCCTAACTCCCGCTTCATGATAGCACTTTATTTCTAGCTGCTGAACTGCCAAAAACAGTGTTGCCCTTGTTCCAGGGCAGGGAGAAAAGTGACCATGTTTTGTTGTTTTGTGTGTGTGTGTGTGTGTGTGTGTGTGTGTGTATGTGTGTGTGTGTGTGTGTGTGTGTGTGTGAGCATGCACGTGTGCGTGTGTTTAAGTATCTTTTGCTGCACCCCATTGATAAGTTATCACATTTTGTATGCAAAAAATTTAATAATAAACCTACGGAACATGTATTGTTATTCTGTGTGTTCTAGTGATTCCAGGGGTGTGAGCCTTGAGAATTGACCAGATGAATAAGCTCTCCCTGCTTTCCTTTTAAAAATGTGACTGTTTCTTTATACCCAAAGACACTGTGGTTTGCCTCCACACAGGAACTCTCTCATAAAAGAAATGGTTGTGTTAGTTTTGTTTTGTTGCTTTCCCTATATTTAATTTTTATTTATTTAATTTAAGTACTTCAATAAACATGGATTATTTGGTTCTAGTTCTCACAAGTGCCTGCCTTTTATTTAAAGGTTAGTTCCAAATTAAAGTGATACGTCAAAAAAAGTCTTATGAGAAAGAAAAAAATGCACAATGCCAGCTTAAGTCTAAGCTAGCAAAAAATAAATTAATTAATCAATCACAATGTATTCCCTGAAAGCCTGTACATAATACATTGGCTACCTTTGCCATTCACAATTCTGAATTTAACTGTATCCCATTTTCTACCCTGCTTGATTGAACCCTAATGTAACACTCAAATGGGAGCAATCACTTAAATGCAGTTTTGATGTCTGCTTGGAGGAATTTAACAGTTTGGTGGCAACACACTGATTTTTTCCAGGTCCCTACCAGGGTGAACACTCCACATCAGCTTGTAAGGATTTGTTCACCAGAGTTCAAATTTCAGACAACTAATTTACTGTTCATGGAAAAATACCCCTGGGTGCTTAACTGATCTAATGCACATTTCATTCTTATTTAAATACTGCAAATTAATTAATGAGCATGAGGATAAATATTAATACCAAAGATACTAGTATAAAAATAGTAATACAAATACAGAATAACAAAAAAGCTTTAAATCCCAAACTTATACCAAGGCCATCAAATGCTCACATCCTCAAATGAGTAGGGTTGTAAGAACAGAGAAAGCCATAAAAAGATTCTGGATCAGTTTTATTTCATATATGTATGAAAGTAAACATATCCTTAGTATCAACATAAATGATAATAATTAATGCGGTGCAGTTACTAGGAGAGCTAGTAATCCTTGTTGTAAATACTGTGTTAAAAACTAGATTCCACACTCTGTTTGCCTCATGTTTGTATTGTTATTTATTGTATATCAGTTGCAGTCTTTTGAAACCAAAGTCTGGAAATCCCCACAAGTAATGGGGGACATATAACTGCAATAATCAGTCATTAAAAAGACAGCACCATTAATTAATATCTTCCTGAGCTTAGTTGATCAGGGTCTTAATGTGCTGACGTTTCAAAGATGCCAAAGAGGATATAAAGGCAGACTTGTGATATGCTAAAATACTTACCAAATGTGAAGTTGGAAGGTGTTAGTGAACCCAGAGCCAAATCCATCCTTTGAAATACACAGTTCCCCAGATGTCTCATATTCTACCACACTGTTAGCAAAATGAATTGCCAAGAGTGGTAATCAACAGGTGTCCAGAACCCTTCAGTTACTATCTTTCCTGCTTTTGGCTCCATAATTCTTTATTATCCCAGCCTGAACTTCAGCAAAACTATAGGACAAGACTGCAATACATTTTCTGATTTAGACAGGGAATTTTACTCTAGCCATTGGAGTTGCTTAACAAAGAAGTGGAAAGGATTCATAGTTTTTTATGTTCATACAATCTCCAGCTGTGTTTTATTTACATCTTTATACCAACATAGGAAATAGTGATTCACTTCATCTGCATTTATTCTATGTAATAAAAACATACTTTTAGTTTAGCACTGCTACCAAATATTTACAATATTGATCAAACTGAAAATTATCCCTCCTTTAAAAAAAACAAAAAAACCCCCACAGCCCTTCTAAATGTAAGGTATTTTAATAAACATTCTTCCACTGTAATGAGAGGGGAGAAGCAAATTTATTTTGTAACGATGAGAGCCACATATCTCTCTCCACTAAAACAAATTATTTTTGCATATACCATGTTCAGAATCTTCTTGATGGCATAATAATTCTCAGGAAGGAATAACCCAAAACGTGGGAAAGTATTTTGATTTGGGGTTATCCTTTGGACTGGAACTAACATCAATTTAGTTACAGTAAAATATGGCTTTTCATTTCCTAACCTAGTCCTGATCTGCAGGGATACCTGAGCAGAATAACATTAACACGGGTTATATAATCTCTGCCTCCCCATGTCAGATCTCATGCTACAGAAAGAAAAGCTATGATCCCTGGTTATATTTACAAATGCTGAGCATACCTGGAAAAATAAATCGAATACTTTTATATGAAATACAGTTTTTTCTTGCCGTGATTGTTTTTTTAAATACAGAATCCTAATCCAAAATAGGCTGATATTTCATTTGTAGCTTCTGTATACAGGGACACACACAAACCTCTTAAGCTGTCAGCGTCCTAGCACTTCTAACAGAATGATTTTTTTATGGCAAAAAAACCTATTCTGGAATCCTCATTACCACGTGGCTATGAAAGGTATCCTAATTATCCATGTAAAACTTCTGCTTTGAGGGCCAGGTGCAACAAACATCTCTGCCAACTGTGCTACTATATGGAGTTCCACTGAAGTCACTCACACATCAGTTCTAACCCTGAAACTCACACTAACATCAATGGAGCAATTTTCACTGTTAAGGGATTGGAATAATTAGAATGGCAATTGCTTATAATAAAATTAGCCACTTTACAGTCCATTACGTTTCTCAAGCCTACTTCCAGAAATAAACAGCAGTCCTTGTTTGCAAGTATAGACCCCATAGTTGTTATTTCTATTAAAAAAAAAATTGCTCATCTCATTCCTGCAGGCCCTAATTGGGCAAAATTCCAATTAAATTGAATGCACCTGATGCAATAGGCCTCATGTGTAATCATGGGATATTATATGTAACCATAAAGTTTATGTTTGTATGTCTCCTTTACAGTTACTTACCCTTTTCATAGCAAAGAAGTTAATGTAACATCAAAGGAGACACAGGTGAAGAGGTCCTACTCTGTTCCTCTGAAGTCAATATGCGTTTTTGCTACTGACTTCAAAAAAGCAAGAAAGCCACATGCATAAAGGTAGTGATTATGCCACATTAAACACATTTAAACTTGATTCAGGAACCCTTCAGTGTCAGATCTAATTTTCTTTAGCAACTGACAGCTTGCTAATAGCCTTGAAAGTCATGAGAGAAATGCAATATTTGCAAGGGCCAGATCTGGCCAGCTTTCCACCCACAGAGAAGCATTTCTCTCCCTAATTAGCTCCAGCAAATCAGAGTAATAACAGAGCAGGGTGCTACTCCAGTGGCAGAGTGGCAGAATCTGATCCTAAAGCACCATACCAAGCTTAATTCATTTCTGACATATGGTAGGAGCTTCAATGAGATCAATAGAGGTACACAAGTGTAAATGAAAGGAGAGTCAGGTTGGGGGCCTCATTCTGTGAATCACTGTGTATTGAAAAGTCAGCTGGATTCAAAAATCGCAGGTCAAACAAAAATCCATATCGAGTTAAACAACACAAAACAAAAAGAGTTCCCATGGTTTAAATGCAGTGAAAAATAATCTATATTTTAATTATTCCCTTGTACCAAATCACAGCCAAACAAAAAGAGGCTGAAATCTCCTTTCTGCAGCCACAGTTTTAAAGGGATACAGTCCATTTACAACAATCAGGTAAAAGTAATTTCTGGTAGTACAACTTCTCCTAAATTACCTTGTCATCCTCTCTGGTTTTCCCATTTTAAAGAGATTTCTCTTTCTTGCTACTATATGAAAGGCCCATGCAATCAGAGGGGAAAACTGACTGACCAAGGAGGATGCAGTTCACTTCTCTATGAAAAACTAACATATTCAAGTCTTACTTATATCTCTTAGGTCTTGCTCATAGGTGGCCAGACTGGTGGCATTGGATGCGGGAGGCAGGCCTGCACTTGTAGTATCTGTTATTCTTCTGCTCTCTCAAAATTGGCTGGTGTCCTTCACCTGGTTAATGCTACTGATGAGGTCTCTGAAGACAGTCATTTTCAATAGGTGCTGTTACAGTTCTGGCCACTAGGTGGCTGGGGAGGTGGTTTGCACAGAGCAAAAGGCTTCTTTGGGATTAAATTAAACTAGAGGAACAGACACATGACAGGGTATAAGCAACAACATTCCCAGGTGGTAAAATTACCACACATTTTTCAATAGATAACCACCCTCGATTTTAATGATTTACCATTTAGTAGAGGCATGTGTCATGTGTCTTCCACACTTTCACTGCAGCAAAACTGACAAAAATCTTGT